GCTCTACAGTTTCTAGAACTCCTTCACATTGTCTTATGCAAGTCTATACTGTAAGCTTCATGAGAGCAGGAACCAGGACTGTTCCACCCACCAGGGCATGGCCAGGTCTCACCATAGTGCCCGCCACAAGAGGATGGACAAGAAGTGTGCTTAATACACATTTCTAAATGAACAAACTTGATCCCAACAATGTCCCTGGAAACTTAGGATAGGGTTTTAATGAGTAAGGTGAAAAAACAATGAGGAGACCAACCCAATGCCCTCAGCAAGATTTCAATAGAAACTGGTGGTAAATTGTAACTCTTGAATAAAAGGAGATGAATATGGTGTTTTGCAAAATTTATGAATGATTGAACAAGGAGTAGCCTGGAAGCAGGGAGACCAACTCAGGGGCTGCTGTTATGATCTGGTAGTCTTTTATTTATTCAGCAAACATTTACTGAAATCATAATACACATCTGGGCTCTTTTCTATTGAATTATAGCAAGATGTGTAAGTTGTGAACTTAGCCATTAAGGTACTTATATATAGTCTGAGAGAATTAAGACAAATACATTTATTTGCAGCACATTGTTATAATTCAAAGTTATATAAACAAAGAAGGTTTTTGAAAAGGCACAAATAAAGACTGTGGAGTTGAGGGGATGGTAAGATGCATTCTGGTCAGAGGCATTAGGAAGGATTAAAATAGTCTATGGAGTCCTTATTAAAGCCAAAACCACGCTCACTGCCATTGAGTCAATTCCAACACATAGTGAGCCCATAGTAAGATTTCCAAGGCTGTAAATCTTTACAGAAGCAGACTGCTTCATCTTTCTCCTACAGAGCAGCTGGTGGGTTTGAACCTCAGACCTTTTGGTTAGCAGGCCAATGCCTTAACCACAGCACCACCAGAACTCCTTGTGAAGTCTGTGAGTGACGCAAATAGTTAGTGGTCTTAGCTGCTAACCAAAAGGTTAGAGGTTCAACTCCACCCAGAGACACCTGAGAAGAAAGGCCTGGCTATCTACTTCCGTAAAGTCAAATACTGAGAACATTGTGGGGCACAGTTCTACTCTGACACACATGAAGTCATTATGAGTTGAAATTGACTCAATGGCAACTTGTTTAAAGCAATCTATAGCAGCACTTTCACCTGCTTCTGGCTTCGTGCCCTTCTGCCTTATTACCCAGAATTATCCAGGTTTTACTTTACTTTTTGTCTCTTTTTTTTCCTGTTAGAATATAAGCTCCAAGACAGAAGAGAGCTTTTCTATTTTGATCAGTGTTGTGTCTCTAATGCCTCACCCAGTATCTGGCACTTTCACAGATTTTCAATAAAAAATTTGGAATGTATGAATAAAGTGACATTGGAGTTGGATCCCATAGCATGGGAAGGATTTAGACATTTAGTGAAAGGGGAGGGTGAGACATTATTCTAAGTGGAGGGAACATATTCTCTTTCTAGGAGTGGAAAACAAAAGATGGATATAGAGAACACATATAAGAAAGACTCTATTAAGATACTATGAAGGATTAGATATGGAAAATATAAGACAAGGCAAATGATGATTCCAAAATTTGTGCCTTTGAAGCCTGATAGAATAAGGACTGGGGGAGTGACAGAATAAAGGAAGTTGGGAATACAAATCAGTTTATTGGGGAGTGGTCAACAATCTCAGTGGTGATATCTTGTGAACATTTATTGAGATTGGATTGAAGTGCATAGTCAGGTCTGACCAAGGTGAATTGAGATTCATCTGCGAATAGATGAGAAGGGAGAGTAGTAGCTGGGAACAAGGAAAGGTTCCAAGAGGGAGAAAGTCGAGAAAACAAGACCCGTTGGAAAGAATCCACAATCTTGGGAAGTGAATGAGAAAGCTCCACAAGAGGGGTGGAAAAGGCCAGGATAATGCACTGGTGTGGAACCCCAGCAAAGGCAGTGTTTCAGGGGCAGTTATCTGTGTTAGCTGCCTTGGAGGTCTGAGCACATGGAGGTTAGAGGTCTTTAGGTTTGCCATATGGAGGGCAGTGTCATTGCCCTCTAAGGTTCCTATCTGAAGGAACTCTGGTAGCACAGTGCCTAAGGCATATGACTGCTGACCAGAAGGTTGGTGGTTCAAACTCACCAGCCACTCCATGGAAGCAAGACTAGACAATCTACTTCCGTAAAGATTTACCACCTCAGAAGCCCAATGGAGGTCGCTATGAGTTGGAATTGACTCGATGATAGTGGGTTTGGTGGTTTTTTTGTTTTATTTTTACCTCTTTGTAGATGAGTCTTGGTACACATCGCTGATTATTTCCTTACACAGGTAGTCCCTGCCTGTTCCATTCAACAACTAAGATGTAAGTTGGTTCTGACATAGTCATGTACTTCATTTTCTTTTTAAGTTTTCTTTATTATTGCCTTTTAGTATCAGCATCTTTATAAATCTGATCTTTATTTGTCTTTGGGGGTTGGTAAAGATATGATAACATCAGCAAATTACGTGCCATTGTATGTAGCACATATTACTAATGATAGCATATATATGTATGTGTATATATATATATATATATATATACACACACATACATATACATATGTATGTATATAAAAGGCCAGTTCTAAGTGCAGCTCATCATAATAAAATACACAATAACAAGTTGGGCACAGCTACCTTTAATTCCATCTGAGACATATTTTAAATATATTTGATGCATGTTATGGAATTGCCTTCTAGGAAGATAGTATTAATTTATACTCCTATCAGCTATATTTGAGAGTTACTCTTTTCCCACATTGTCAACTTCACTGTGTGTGCTCATTAAAAATAAACAATCTTTACTAATTTGATTATTAAAAATACTATTTTAATTTGCATTTCCTTGAATTCCAGTGAGAATTTTGCTTTTTTTTTTCCCCACTATAAAGTTTCTTTTCTGAATTTATTGTTCATGTTCTTGTCATTTTTATGGACCTTGATACATATTGCCAAATTGCTCTAGAATATTTTGTCTGTTTGGTGAGTTTTCTCATATCTCTTGTTCATTTAAGAATATTATTTTTTCTAGATAGGAATGTTGATTCATGAGTGCAGTGGTTCAGCACTCAGCTGCTAACTGAAAGGTCCATGATCTAAACCCATCAGTGGTTCCATGAGGAAACAAACAAACAAACAAACAAACACCTGGTAAGGTGTTCCTGTAAAGATTATAGCTTAGCAAACTCTATAGGGCAGTTCTACTCAGTTCAATAGGTTTGCTATATGGTGTTTATGAGCCAAAATCGACTCAACTGCACACAATAACAACATTCATTCATGTTTATGGTAGTTTGTTTGTGTGTCAGCTTGGCTGGGCCTGGTTGAGTGGCTGGGCAGCTGGTGGTAGTTATTCCCTATGATGAGATGGCAATCAACTCCATGGTGGGATCTACCACAAGCAGCTGAATAGCTGCTTTTGGGATGTGGTCTGCTTCCTGTATTTAAGGAGAAGCCTTTGGGAATGGTCTCTAGTATATGGCATGCTTGGACTCTGCATGTAGCCGTGTTGTTGTTGAGCAACCTGCCATGCTCTGCCGACCTTGGGACTTAAAATGAACTTGAATTAATGGCCTGCCATGTGGTTTGGTAATATTGGGGCTGTGTCTTTTTATTTGTCAACCTTGGGCTTCTCAGCCTCAGCAGCTAGCAACTGCCTGAGTAAGAAATGCCTCTAGCTCCAGTGGGCTGGGAGCAGGAGGCAGAGCTGGACCCCAACGTTGAGGGGCTTTCACCCAGCCCCTAGAGCCTGGCACTTTGAACTTGGACTTAAAGCCTCCAGACTGTAAGAGAATAAACTCCTGTTTGTTTAGGCCATCCCATTTGTAGTAGTATATTCTTGTCAGAGTGGCACTGGGTAACCAGAGCAATGTTTTAAGATAGAATGAAAAGGGCTTAAAATGTTGGAAGGAAAGGGAATATATGACAGTTTTAAGTTCTGGAAAGATGACAGTTCAAGTGGAAGTAAATTGAGCCTTGAAGGCTGAATGCAATGGGAAATGCTGTACTGTGCTGTTTTTGTCTTTAGGGAATGCTGTGTGATAACTATTTTATTCTTTTTCTGGGTCATCACTAAGCATCACTCTTTTAAGAAAACAAAAATCACTAAGACTGTTTTTGTTTCTGGTTAATGTCCCCAAGCTGAATGGAGAATGAAGGGGGGGGGGGCGAGGGAATAAAGAACCAAGAAAAGAAATTGATCATAGGTTATTTTATTATCAATTTAATACATTGCCCTCACCAAAGCATATGGATAAACAACTAGAAGAGTTACTGGATGGAATCAAACATACTTTAGATTCATAGTCTCTCTTGAGCTCATAATTATTCTGATTGCTAATTTGAGTCAGAAACTATGAAAGTGTTATATAATTAGTGGAATTTAATAAAAGTTAGTTGAATGAATAAATGAATGCATGAATCCTTGGCATAGATTTAGTTGTATCTGAAAATGAGCAAAAGAATCATGAGTTTAATTAGTTGCTAGAAAATCATAATTATTTTAAATTAGGCTGATATCTGAAGTTATTTTGAGGGATAAAACTCTAAGATAAACTTGGAATCCTTGTAGAAAATGCAATGAAGCAAAATAATTTGTATTTATGAATTAATATCTTTTTTACAATAAGGTAGTATTTCAAAGTATCATAACTTCCTACTGTCACATTTTCAGAAGCCAATGAATCAAATGAAGAAATTGGTATCTGCCGAAGATATGGAAGGGATTTTCCGGAATGAGATAGCCCATTTTGGCACTTGGAAGTAGAATCATACAGTAGGATTTCTACTGATTGTTTGATCTGATATTGCTTTGGTGGTAATAGCCACTGCTGAATACTTTATTATTTTCTCTTATAGAATTTCAAGAAGGGAATTTCAAGGACTATTAATCTGTATCTGAGTGTTGTGTGTGAAAGTTAGAGGAGGCTGAGAGGGAAGAAGTCTGGGACACGTTGAGACGTGTGAAGTTCCTTCTCCTGGAATAACGGTAACGATTCATTGCTTTGTGGTGCTCACTTCCTTTTGTGGCCCTGGTTCCTCTCTCTGAGGGTGACCCTGCTTGTCTTGCTGGACCTGGAGAGTTGACATCTGCTGTGGGTCAGCAGGAGCCTCATCAGATAAAACTTGCCTGGTGTTCTGAGGTGATGCGTGGCTGTGGTCAAAAATGGCAAGATAGTTGGAGATCTCACTGGTGAGGGGCACCCTTGATTGGTTGGAGCTGACCTCTGGGCCAGATGCCCAGGCTGGCTGAACTTGATCATGTTCCTCTTGAGTTATGTCTGTTTGCTGTGGATTCTTCTTCTGCAGATAGTTGTATAATGGGCTGGGATGGACTGAACCTTTCTTCACAGAACAGGGCTGTTGATCCCTCTGCATCCCCTCTTCAAGGTTGGACTGGGGGAATGAAGAATAACACCCTTTCTTGGTTGGATGTTGTTGGTCATCACCTTCTGCCTGCTCCTGGGGACTTTCATCCTCCTTCTGTGGAGTTGCAGTTTTCTCTGTCTCAGAATGTGTCTCAAAGGAGGCTGAATTGTCCTCATCCGGTCTTTGCAATGGAGTCTCCTGGGTCTCTGGTGCTCTACCTTCTTCTTCTTTGATACCTGGGCCTTGGACCTTCATTTTTTTCCTGCCATCTTCCTTTGCCAGTGTTTGCACTGCAGAAAGTTGGTCATTGTAGTCTGCATCCAGGGCTCCTGGGATCGTAGTCTCCACAGATTTTCCATTTTCACTTCCTGCTGTGGACTGCTGTGCCTCTGGGTGTCCATTGAGCTCAACATCTGGGTCTGGCCCTTCGATAACTGAGCCCTGACTCTTGTACTCTTCTCTGGGAGACTGTTCCTGTTTCTCTCTGAGCAGCTCAACCTCTTCTCTGGCTGCCAGCACCACTGCATCCTGAGCTCTGTATTTCTCACCTGGTGCTGCTTGTTTCTGTACATCTGGGTCATTAGTGCAGCCTACTTGCATAGTCACTCTTTGTAGGTCTACCTGATTCTGGGAATACCCTCGTGCAGGTAGGTCACCTGTCTCTGAGCTGCTGTCATGTTCCTCTGGAGCCAGGCTGTTGGGAGTTTCAGAGGACCTTTCATTATTCTGTGTGGTTGGTGGCACAGGATCTTCCCCCTGGTGACTGTCATCCTCCTTGATTGGCTTGTCTTGAGTCTTGGAGATCCTCCTATTTTTCCCTCCAGACTGTCTCTCAAGTGGTGCTGACTCCTGTATTCTTTCCCTTGTTCCTGGTTTTCTTTTTGATACAAGGACATTTTTGCTGTCCACAAGTACTTCTTCTGTGCCTTCCTCAGT